CAATCCTTTCAAACAAACCTCAAGGGCGGATCCAGGGGGGGGGGGCAAGGGGGCCATGCCCCCCCCCCCAAAAAAAAAAAAAAAAAAAAAACCGAAACCAATTTTTTTTTTATGTGACATCGCAATAACGAAACCAATTTTTTTTTTTTTTTATGTGACATCGCAATAAAGGCAGGCAATGAGTACCCCACCATCTTTTCCTCAAAAAAACATTGGTTAAAGTGGTCAGAAATTGCCTCGGATCGCACCACAGAGCATCTAGAATCCAAAAAATTTTCGGGGCCCTTACGGGCCCCGAACCCCACGCCGTAATTTTTTTACCCACTTTTTGGGGGGGACCAAATTTTTTTTTGGCCCCCCCAAAAAATTGTGTTCTGGATCCGCCCTTGTGGATGGACAGGGAAGGAGGTGTGGTGGGCCGGGTACCGAGTCCCAGAAGAGTTCTATATGGAAGTCGGTAAGGGGCTCAGTGAGTTAGGGTCATAAGTCCGACTCCTGAAGACTTGGCCATCGCCACATAACTTTTTGTTTTATTTTCTTTCTTTTCTATCGGAGGACAATAATTGCATGAACGATTAATTTGTTATATTGAGAGCTTGTACATCGTTCAAAATTAATTTCTAAAATTGCTGGAAAATACAAAATTCAGTCCAGCTATAATATTCTTATTTTATTGTCGCAAAACTGCATGTACATGCCCAGCACTTTTGCGCATATACCTTGTTCAGGCCTGTTCCCTGATCCCAGACTGCAGGGGGGGGGGGGGGAAGGGCGTCTTTAAATCCTATAGTGGTAATTTTTATATTTTTAGTATTTCTTTTTATATGCACAGCTGTATCTGTCAATCCCCGTATGTGAAGCGACTTTGCGCGGCAGCTTGTGCCGACATGACAGAATGTACACTATTTTGACAAAGGTTTCAGAACCGGATTTTAGTTTCGCGGAGTTTTGAGCAGCGGTGTTTATTATTTACATTCTCGACTTTGTTTTTATTCCCTCTTCCTTTCCCCTTCCTTCTCCATTCTTCGGAACACTGGTGCCTAGGGCCTGAGAAACACTTAATCCGGGCCTGCCACTGAAGAATGATTTACGTATCTTGATCAATTTTTGGAAAGTGCCCTGATTACTGGGGGCATTTATCATTGGGGTCCATGGCAGTTTATTTACTGGTCTGCAACCTAGACTTGCCGTCTGTGGGTGCAGACCGGTAAATAGGCCGAAACCCATCAGCTGAGCTCATGAATGCAAGTTATAGCGGCCCTCAAAATGCTTTATGTTAGAGAGTTGTGAGAGCCATATAATTGAGGAATTGAAAAGATATGGCAATGAACCTGTTGTCCGGATTTAGGGCTTCCGATTTTGAACATTTTGGAATATAAGAAAGTCGCTCGATACTGACTGTTCGTCACGCTGTACATCAGAGTATTGATGGAGCTGTTAATGAGGCGAGCGATTCCTAAGCAGACGTCCACGTCGAGACTGATCCAGTAGATATCGCTGAAAGTGCAAGGAGAACTGGAGTATCAGGCTGATGAGAGTAGAGAGTGTAAGCGATGTCCATGGAATTGAGCACGTAGAAGACAGCAGTGTTGATGACTAGCATGCGGACGACGGGGTAAACTCGACGGGTTTGGCCTGCTTGACGTTCTCGGTCACTGTGGCACAACTTAATAACAATGTAAATATACGAGGATATAGTGATGGTAAACGTTGCCAGGTAAGCAAGTAGAAGGATGACAACACCTACTTGTGAGAAAACCTCATTCTTCACATAATTTTCATCAATTTGTTGTGAGTCCACTCACAACGCTCGTGACCACTGCCTCAACCCGGACGCCTGCTGATACCTTGGCTGCTCGTGACTTGCTCGCTTGCGCTCTCTGGGTTAGCGGTTGGCGTACGGCGGAGAATCTTTCAACCGCTATGACAGTCACGAAGCAGTACGAAGCAATCTGCATTGTTCCAAAAGCTAGGCATACAGCTAGGGAAGCACCTGAAGCTATGTGTGTATATTCTATTGCCCATGCTGCTGACATGGCTAGGATCATAAAGGCAGCGCCAGCCACTGCTAGATTCTGGTCAGGGAACCAAACTACAAGAGCAGCATTTTGGGTTTTTTCCTAGCATCTGTGAACACAAAATCTTTAAACATAATTATCAGTTGAACATTGTTTGCCATAAAATGCCAACCCCAAATCCATCAATTTTAAAATTACAGGAAAAACAAATGTTAATATCGCCTTTAAGTATCATCCTTGATCCAACTTTTGGAATCAGTTTAACTTCCTGAACGTCAGAATTTTACATTGACTTGTTTTTTTTTTTCTCCCAGCATATTATAATACAAACTTTTGGTTTGCTTGAGACAATAATACTGGTGATACCAAAAGTTCAATATCAAAGCACGATTGTGTTTCCTCGTTCGTATACACTAGTCCCAGTTACACGTTGAACGATTTATTATCGGGAAGGTATTATAGCTACAAAGTCATCACGTGAACTCATTACTGTAATATTTTAAATATGATTTTGGGGTTTATTTGTGACACTGCAGCACAAAACCATTCACCTCGACACGTATTGAAAACTGGGATTTGGGCTAATTGGTAAGGACATTGAATATGCTTATATTCTGAGATTAAGGGGGGGGGGAGAGTGTTGATCGTAGATGGATGCAGGGGCTGATCCAGCTTCGACTCAAGGGAAGGTTAGCTGTTAAGGAGGGGTAGGGCAGGGTGACCGTAAGGCCATGGCCAAATTCAGCTAAATGCACTTTAAAAATCTGTCAGATTTATCAAAAATCTGCCAAATTCCCAACAATTACTCGAAATACACTATTAACACTTAAAATCACATGCAAATGTTGTAGTATTGCCTTAATTAAAGTTCAAATTATATTATAAACAATCTATGTTCGCATAAAAATGTAATGACATTGCGTAAATTTCAGGAAAAATGCGGTTGCATCACGACGGGCGGGTTCCCAGTGAACCTCAGCACCTAGACCACAGCCAACCTGTCCATTATGCAAGGGTACCATTTTTTTTTCAAATTTGCTTTGTTTTTCTGTCAAATAACCATTTGTGCAGAATTCTGCCAGAAATCTGCCCAAAAATCCATTCTGTCAAATTTTCTGTCAAACACTATTTTTACCAAAAAATCTGTCAAAGTTAGCCAAAAATCGGCTAAAACGGTCACAATGGGTAAGGGTTGCAGACATGCTCTACTTTTTCCTGCAATATTTTGTATTACCATTGATTACGATGTGTATCGGGTGAATATTTTCCTTTCTCTTGCGGCCCAGGGGAGTAGACCGTCTACCACCCGCCCCCCTCGTGGATCCACCACTGGGGTGAACTGGGCAAGAATTGGTTTTGCTACTTTTACCACTAAAATGTCAAGAACATCCAATAAATCTTAGACAAAGATCCGTACTTGTAAGGAACTATATATACGCACATTAAAACTTGCGTTGAAAAGAAAATATTTATAGTCGCATATAAGTATTTTTAAACGGCACATATTAACTGCAAACTTTTTCGTTGTTTTTACTTGACCTAATTTATGTACGAAAATATTCATAAAATTGTATTACGAACAGCGCCACCTACTGTACAATTGTGTCCAGTCCCTCAAACCCCCCCCCCGAAAAAAAATCCACTACTTTTTTTTTTACAACGTCCGATGTGGTGCCAGGATTTTGCAAGCATGATGCCCCAGTTGTTGACACGAATGTACGCCTCTGGTTATGATTTCAAATTAAGGTAGGCGTACCCAAATGTAGGAACGTAACGAAGTTGGTAACGTAAAGAATGTCAGATGCGTCATCCAGTTCAAAACAATCCAAATGGACTTAATGGGTCCATGAGATGAATTTTTCGGAGGAACACATTTTGTACAACTTTCTACTCCTCTTAAAAGTATGAAAACGATTTAACATTTTTTGGGTTTGTTTAATTGAAAGGTGCACTTCTTTAAACATTTCGAATTGTCCATGCTTCTCCGGACAACAGCGGGCGCTGTTGCTGTTTTTTTTTTTTTAGGAAGACACTATTCGGTTTTGGGGGTTTTGAGTTTAACTTGTGACCCAAAAATGTGTTCATTGAAACGTTAATGTGAGAAAAGTGTGCTTATTGGCTTACTGCCATGTACTTACACAACAACGAATCACCAAAGAAAAGAACATTTACACCTTACATTCAAAATCCTGGTAACTTTTTTGTGCTGAAATTATTGTAACAGTGAGGTTTCTGCCTGAAATGATATCAAACATTCGCTCATAAATATTGAGAATTATATCAGCGTAAAAACCAAAAAGGCCCCAAAATACCATTGAAAATGGCGAAACGAAATAGAAAGTTAGGTTAAATGGGACACAAACGTGCATTTTCAAGGATTGAATAAAACAAAAACAAATCTGGCCTTTTAAGGAGAATCTTCAATCCAGTTACCGTTAAGCGTTGCGTCACAGGATATTTCATCGATGTGTGACGTTTAGTCAAGACCTCACAAAATCCTCACATAAGTCAGTCGCAATTAAATGCTTCGATCTAAATCACTCACAAGCTATTCAAAGTTAACTATGATTGGGGTTTCTTATGCATATTTGCCCTGAACAAGACTTCAAGCAACTCAATGTACAGGGCTACAGGAGAATAATAAAAAGAAGAGCAAATACTCAGGAAAACTGAAGGTATGAATTGACATTCCTCTTGAAACAGAGCAGAGCATAGGTTGGAGGGAAACAAGCACCAGGCAAGGAATTCCAAAGAGATGCAGCACGTGGGAAAAACTATTGGAATATTCCTTTGTTCTACATCTAGGTAAAGCACCAGTATATGGATGAGAACAGGCAGAAAGTCGAGTTTCTCTCTCAAACACTCTGATTGGAGGAACCAGGTTGGATAGTCTCCATCCTTGATGTTTGTGGACTTACTTGTATCTAACTTGGGACTTGACTTGTGATTGACTCGACCAAAAGTCTGGATTGGCGTCGACGTTCAGTGCGCTTGGGCCGGTGATTCTTGAGCGGCCTTCGCTGGTGGAATCGCTCGAAGTTCTATCTGCTCCGTCTGCTGCGGTCGGCGGCAGCGGCGGCACTGTCGAAGGAGCTTTGCCAGCGGGGGGGAAGCCTCCAAGAAAGCCGCTCGATACTGTCTGTTCGTCACGCTGTACACCAGAGTATTGATGGAGCTGTTGATGACGCGAACCATTCCTAAGCAGACCTTCACGTCGAGATAGGTCCAGTAGATATCGATGAAAGCTTCTGCTTCTGAATGCATGGAGAACTCGAGTATAATGACCATGACATTGTAAGCGATGTCCATTGAATTGAGAACGAAGAAGACAGCAGTGTTGATAACTAGCATGCGAACGACGGGGTAAACTCGACGGCTTTGGCCTTCTTGACGCTCTCTGTCACTGTGGCATAACTTAATAACGATGTAAATATAAGAGAAAACAGTTATGGTAAACGTTCCAAGGTAAATCAGGAGAAGGCTGACAACATATACTTGAGAGAAAACCACATTCTTGACATAATTGTTATCGAGTCCACCCAACACGCCCGGGACCACTGCCACAACCCAGACGCCTGCTGATACCTTGGCTGCTCGTGACTTGCTCGCTCGCGCTCTCTGGGTTAGCGGTTGACGTACGGCGGAGAACCTTTCAACGGCTATGACAGTCACGAAGAAGTACGAAGCATTCTGCATTGTTACAGAAGCTATGCGTACAGCTAGGTAAGCACCTGAAGCTATGTGTGTATGTTCGGTTGCCCATGCTCCTGACATGTTTATGATCATATAGGTAGCGTCAGCCACTGCTAAATTCGACAGATAGACGTTGATGATCGTGCGCATGGACTTCACTCGAATTACTACGAAGAGAAAAATAGAATTCAGCAGGATTCCGATGGGGGCGATGATGTTGCCGAAGTGACGGATTATGTTGTCATAGTCTTGCTCATGAGCGTCGACATCATGGAAAAGCTGCCTCTCATGGGCTGTCAGTCCGTCGCTATGTTCTATTGTTCCATTCATGTTCTATTGTTCCATTCATATGTTCTATTGTTCCATTCGTTTTCTCAGTAGAGACGTCTAGACAGGCCTGATTCACAAGTCGAAATGTATCTTCATTTATAGCCAGATTACTCGTGTTGGCACCAAGCAATATGAAATCAGAAAAGAAAGCGAGAAACACTGGACATGCATTATATCACTCCTCGCGTCTTAAATGGCAATGTCAGAAAAGTTAGTTTCCATTTCGATCAGCAGATCCAATGGAGTTAAAGGCGCTATCTCGTGAATTGTGTATTTCTAAACTCGCCCCAAGGGTGAGCTCCACCCTCTGGAGCGTGGGTTCGTGCAATTCAAATTACCCCTATGGGATTTCGTTCAGTAGCATGAGAGACAATAACAATGCCCTGCAATCTTAGTCATCTGATTTGAACCTATAATTACACCCTGCATTCCCACGCTGCCCCATCACACCCCCACCCGATCCCACCCACCACCAAAGTTTGGCCAAAGTTATGCACACATTTCCAAGGCCAAAAAAAGTCACCGGTTTCTGGTATTGAGCTTGCCCAAAAAGTGGTGCGGCGACGCGGCTTTTTCTTTTTTACCTGATTTTTTTTGCTTCAAATGTCGGCTGATGACTGCAAATGGTGCCCGACTAAACTAAGTGCAAATAATTATATGGGAGTCCAGAGAGGCCACATAAAGCTGATTCTCAACCATAACCCAATCTAAAAACAAGTTAAAATTGTGCAGCAGCAGGATTCCAGTCAAACCAGTGAGTTTGGCGGTTTTGAGACATCATCTTTCATTGAAAAAAAAATCATTTTGCCGACGCGCATAGCTACGGCGACGCGCGCGCATACCAGAAACCGGAGACTTTTTTGGGGGCATAATTAACCTAACCTCCCGAGTGTTAGCTCTATAGACCATGCTACATTTACAAATTTGATGTTGTAGTCACGTGATGTCAACTTTAAGCAAACTGATCTCTTCCGCACTGCATGTGTATCCCTTGAAATATGATTGGTGTAAAAGTGGTGACGTAAACTGTTTAATGTTGACAGAATAACATGCATAAGATGCGTAAATGTTTGGTTGTCTGTCGGTTGCCCGTTGGTATGACGTCACAGGTCACATGATTTATAGAACTAAGCCAATATTTGTTTCCCATTCTAATGTTGTTCTGTCCCAATTTACAAACACCTTGAAATAAGTTGGGATGCGACGTTATAAATGTTTGCCAAAGTTTTAATTGAATTTGATTTGAACAATGATAGCACGCATTTTCTTATAAATTGTACACGACTTCAAAAATGTATTGGCCCCATTTAAGTTTAAAATCATCCTTGATCCAACTTTACGAAATCCATTGAATATCCTTAACGTCAAACGTTTCAATGTCCTCTATCATAATCTCATACAGTTTCTGGTTTGCTTGAGCCAATAGTAGTGATACCACAAGTTCATTATCAAAACACGATCTGGTTTCCTTGTTCGCACGCTAGTCACAGTCACAAGTTGAACTATTTATTCTAGAAAATTTATAACAACTACAAAGTAATCATGTCAACTCATTACTGTCACATTTAGGCCATGATGGGGGGGGGGGGATTGTGACACTGAACTTTGTAAACTAGGTTAATTGAAAATGACATTGAATTCTCTTTTCAATTGATGTTGGTTTACATAATATTCTCTGTGCGTCTTTGATATTCGTGCAGATTCGGCGATTAATTATTAACAAATATCTTTTAGGCACACCATGAATCAAACCACCCCAACCCACCCACCCCACCAATCGACCTAATCCACCCAATCCTGCCCCAAACTTTTGTTTCAATGATGAAACATGTCCTTGCAACTTGTGTGACAATAAAAAAATATGTTGCCTGAAGTCAATATTAACATCATCCCTAATCCACCTTACTGAGTTCTTTAATTTCCTGAACGTCAGGAGTTTGAATTTGCTTGCGCATTTCCCCTAGCATATTCTTAATAAGCTCCTGGTTTGCTTGAAACAATAGTGGTGATACCAAAAGTTCATTATCAAATTACGATTGTATTTCTTCGTTCGTGCACTAGTCACAGTCACATGTTGAACGATTTATTCTCGGAGTAGGTATTATATAGCCACAAAGTCATAACGTGAACTCATAGTTTGGCCATTGCCCTCCCAACCGGCACAAAACCTAGTCTATGGAATATCCCCTTGCACAGCGAGGGTCTATGATATGCGAGCAGATTTGGCGATTAATTATGCAAAACAAGACTGCGTCTTGACGTCGAGATTCTGACCATTCAGCGGGCGCCTTCTATCGGGTCTTCGATAACCAGTTGTTCTGTTGCAAAAACATGGCATCCCAATTGACCAATCAACATCTTAGTCCGAATTTCTGATCGAAATGACGTCACACTTTTTAAAGTCGACTCTGATTGTCTGCCGCGCGGATTCGCATGCATGTTGGGATATATCAGACGTTCGCAGATGGCTCTGCACATGAAAATACCTGATCCTCAGACTAATAAAACACTGTACAGACAAAAATTATCGAACGTAAGATCTAGGCGTTAAAAGCTAGAACGACGAAAATATCTCACTTTCAATGAAGTTGATTTTTAAATTTAGAAGGCGCACGATGAATGGTCAGAATCTTGAGGTCAAGACGCAGTCTTGTTTTGCATAATTAATTTCCTACTGTGCACGCATAATCATAGACGTTTGTTTTGCAAGCGGCTACCCCACCAACCATATTCTGTGGGCCTTCATTATTGGGAAGCTTATCCCAGTTTTCAAAAGTTGTCCACATGACTGGTTTTGTGCTAGAGTGTCACAAATAGACCCCATATATTGGTCAAAATATTACAGTAATGAGTTCACGTGATGACTTTGTAGCTATAAATACCTTTCTGAGAATAAATAATTGAACATCTGACTGTGACTAGCGTGCGAACGAGGAAACACAATCGTAATTTGATAATGACTTTTGGTATCACTACTATTGTCTCAAGCAAACCAAATACTTTCATTATAATAATCTGGCAGAAAAAAAAAACAAGTAAAGTGAAACTCCTGACGTTCAGGAAATTTAAATGAATCCGAAAGTTGGATCAAGGATGATACTTAGAGGTATACAAAACATTTGCTTTTGCTGCAGAAATGAATGGGAATTTGGGGACTGGTATTTTATAGCAAATATTGTTAGATGGATAATTATGCTTAAAGATTTGTATTTATAGATGCTGAAAAAAACCAAGAGAACAATTTTGTTCTTGTAGTTCGATTCCCAGACCCTACATCAGACGAAACGGAGCAATCTATAGGAATTGTCAGGTCAGGGAACCAGACTGGCTGGCTTGCAATTGTTATCGGATGTGTAACCAATGCAAACACATGTGGACTAAATAGATTTTTTAAATTGGGGGCAGTGTTTGAAATTGTCAGTTTTTTCCCTAACGAAGGTCAGCCAACCATCTTTGGAAATTGATACCAAAATTTCATATCCAGTGCCATGATTTCACAGGCTGATTCATTTACAGTCAAGTAAGGTATTTCATAATTATTTTGTAGTTTTGTTTTATAATGTTTGCACATTTTGTGTATTACCTTTACATTGACTGCAGGCACTTCATTTTTGTAGCACGCAATGTTCAAGAAAAACAATCAAATTTGATAGAGAAACAAAACGAAATTTCATTACGTTGCGCCCAAAGGTTTTTCCAGGTGTTTGTAAAGTGGGACAGAACAAAATTAGAATGGGAGACATTTCGTCTTTAATGGCTTAGTTCTATAGACCGTGTTACCTGTGACGTCATACCAACGGGCAACGACAGGCAACCCAAACATTTACGCATCTTATGCATGTTATTTTGCCCATAATAAACAGTTTATGACACCACTTTTACACTAATCACATTTCAAGGGATAGACATGCAGTGCAAAAGAGATCAGTTTGCTTAAAGTTGACGTGACTACAACATCCAATTTGTAAATAATGTTACACGGTCTATAGAGCTAACACTCGGGAGTTTAGGTTAATTAGAAATGTGTGCATAACTTTGGCCAAACGTTGGGGATGGGGTGGGATCGGGTGGGGTGTGATGGGATAGCGTGAGTGATCCAGGGTGTTATAAGGTTCAAACCATAAGATTGCAAAACATTGCTATTGTTTCTCATGCTATAAAACAAAATCCAATACGGGTAATTTGAACTGCAAGAACCCATGCTCCGGAGGTTCGAGCTCACCCTTGGAGCGAGTTGAGAAATACACAATTCACGAGATAGCACCTTTAACTCCATTGGATCTGCTGATCGAATTGGAAACTAAGTTTTCTGACATTCCCATTTAAGGCGCGAAGATCAAGAGTGAGTTGGTTATCATGCGAGCCCCGTGTTTCTCGTTTTTTTTTCTTATTTCATATTGCTCGGTCCCAAGACGAGTTATAATCTGGCTATCAATGTACATACATTTCGACTTGTGAATCAGGCCTGTCAAGACGTCATCCTGTAAGAAAGATGAATGGAACAATCAGACATATAAACGACGAACTGACAACCCACGAGAGGCAGCTTTTTCGTGGTGCCGAAGCTCATGAGCAAGACTACGTCGACATAATCGGTCAGTTCGCCAAAATCATCACCCCCATCGGAATCCTGCTGAATGCTATTCTCTTCGTAGTAATTCGAGTGAAGTCCATGCGCACCATAATCAACGTCCATCTGTCGAATTTAGCAGTGGCTGACGCTACCCATCTGATCCTAATCATGTCAACAGCATGGGCAATAGAATATACACACACTGATTCAGGCGCTTACCTAGCCTTAATCATAGCTTCTTCAACGGTGCATTTGGCTTCGTACTGCTTCGTGTCTGTCATAGCGGTTGAAAGATTCTCCGCCGTACGCCAACCGCTAACCCAGAGAGCGCGAGCGAGCAAATCACGAGCAGCCAAGGTATCAGCAGGCGTCTGGGTAGTGGCCGTGGTCACGGGCGTTTTGGGCGGACTCGCATTCAATACCAATTATGTCACGAACGTTGTTTTTTCTCAAGTGTGCGTTGCCATCCTTCTCCTGATTCACCTGGCAACGTTTACCATAACTGTTTCCTCGTATATTTACATAGTTGTTAAGCTATGCCACAGTGACCGAAAGCGTCAAGCTGGCCAAACCCGTCGAGTTTACCCCGTCGTCCGCATGCTGATCATCAACACTGCTGTCTTCTTCGTTCTCAATTCAATGGACATTGCTTTCACTGTCATCAACCTTATACTCCTGTTCTCCTTGCACTCAGGAGCTGAAGCTGTCTTGGATATCTTCTGGACCAGTCTCGACCTGTCGTTCTGCATAGCGATCTTTCGCCCCATCAACTGCTCCATCAATACTCTGGTGTACAGCGTGACAAGCAGTCAGTATCGAGCGGCTTTCTTGGAGGCTTTTCCCCCGCTGGCAAAGCTCCTTCGACAGCGCCGCCGCTGCTGCCGACCGCAGCAGACGGAGCAGATAGAACTTCGAACGATTCCACCAGCGAAGGCCGCTCAAGAATCCCCGGTCCAAGCGATCTGAACATCGACGCCAATCCAAACTTTTAGTCGAGTTAATCACAAGTCAAGTCCCAAGTCAGACACAAGTAAGACCACAAATATCAAGGATGGAGACTATCCAACTGGTTCTTCCAATCAGAGTGTTCGAGAGAGAAACCCGACGTCGCCTGTTCTCATCCATATACTGTTACTATTATCTAGATGTAGAATTACAAAAGGATATTCCAATAGCGCCCCACGTGCTGTATCTCTTTGGAATTCCTTGCCCGGTGCTTGTTTCCATCCAACCTATGCTCTGCTCTGTTTCAAGAGGAACGTCAATTCCTACCTTCAGTTTTCCTGAGTATTTACTCTTCTGTTTATTTGTCACTCGTAGCCCTGTTTATTTGTCACTCGTAGCACATATGCATAAACACGTAAGCACAGTTAATTTCAAATAGCTTGTATTAGTGATTAAGATTGAAGGACTTAATGCGACTGACTTATGTGAGGATTTTGTGAGGTTTTGACTAAAAGTCACACTTCTATGATATATCCCGTGACGGTAACTGGATTGAAGATTCTCCTGAGGCCCATTTCTAAAAAAATTCATTCACTCCCTTTAAAATGCACGTTTGTTTCCCATTGGACTTTTTCAATTCTCGTTTTTCCATTTTCAAGGGTGTTTTGGTGCCTTTTTGATTTGATGCAGAAGCGAAATTCCATATTCGTGAGTAAATCTGTAATGTCATTCTGGGCAGAAACCTTAACCCTACCAGGACCGGGCTTTTTTTTGGGACCTACGGGGACCGGGGGGGGGGGCACATAGTGCCCCCCTTCTATATCTTCTATATTTTCAAAATAAATGACCGATTTTTTTTTAAAACTTGGTAGAAATTAACCTTTGACCAAATCCTATAGGTTGCCATTAAAAAAAAATCCGTCTATAGAGGGCGTTTTTTGGACATTTTTGCCCGTTTTTGGTCAAAACTAGTTTTTCCCCCCGTATTTTCCGTTTTCCTTAATGGCCAAATGTCCTAAAATTTGGGAAACATGTTTGTCACGTGACACTCCTCAATCACCTTTCTGATAAATAAATAAATAACAATATGACAATCAGTTTTACACTGTAGAAATTAATATTTGAACATTTAGTTTATTAAAATTACGTGAAAAACTGGGAACCTATGTAAAACAGACGTTTGCTATGGCAACAACGAACCATCACTTGATTTCTTTTTTTATTATGACCCTAGATAATGTTTAGAAAAAGTCACCAAATTTGGTGGCGATCGGCTGCACCGTTAAAAAGTTATGAGCAAAAATATGGGGGGGGGGGGCACATTGTGCCCCCGGTCCTGATAGGGTTAATCTTAATTGTTAAGCTATTTCAGCACAACAATTTTCCAGAATTTTGGATATGTTGCTGTCCTATAATATTATTTTCTTTTCTTGTGTGATTCGTTGTTTGTAAGCGCATGGCAGAAGCCAATATCCATCCATTTCTCACAAATATTTTCAATGAGAAAATTTGGGTTCACTATTTGAACAGAAAACCCTCTAAAACTGAACCGTGTCTTCCTGAAATGACATCACAATAACAGCGCCCTGAGTTGTCTTGAAAAGCAAGGACAATTTTTAATTGTTTAAAGAAGTGCACTTTTCAATATATTAAAATATTTGGTGTTGATGCTGATGCAAATTTCCTTATTCTTGAGCAAATTTCCATAAACACAATAAGCGGGTCATTTTTTGAATTGTTTAACATAGCAAATCGTTTTCTACGCATTTTTCTGATCTAAAGTCGTCAATTAGAAGTTAATTTCCGAGGGTGCACGATAACCCCTTCTTCCCACTAAACTATATTACCTTTCTGATAATAAATCTTTGAACATGTGACTGTGACTAGTGTACAAAAACGAGGCAACACAATCATGTTTTGATAATGAACTTTTGGTATCACCAGTATTATTGTCTCAAGTAAACCAGAATGTTTTTATTATAATATGCTGAGAGAAAAAAAACAGTAATATACACTTCTGACGTTCAAAAGGTTAAACAGATTCCCGAAAGTTGGATCAAGGATGATGCTGAAAGGTAATAACAACATTTGTTTTCCTGGAATTTACATTAATTTATGGATTTGGAGGTTTTGTATTTTATAGCAAACATTGTTCAACTGATAATTGTATTCAAAGATTTGTGTTCACAGATGCCGGAAACAAAAACAATAAAAAATGCTGCTCTTGTAGTTTGGTTCCCTGACCCTATACTTCAGGCGAAACGGAGCAATTTATAGACGTCGGGGAATTGTCAGCTCAGGAAACCAGACTAGCTGGCTTGCAACTGTTACCAACGGGCAACCAACAGGCAACCCAAATATTTAAGCATCTTTTGGATGTTATTTTGCCCACATTAAACAGTTGACGTCACCACTTTTACCCCAATCAAATTTCAAGGGATAGACATTCAGTGCGGAAAAGATCAGTTTGCTGAAAGTTGACATCACGTGACAACATCATCCAATTTGTAAATGTAACATGGTCTATAGAGCTAACACTCGGGAGTTTAGGTTAATTCGAAATGTGTGCATAACTTCGGCCAACCTTTGGTGGTGGGTGGGATCGGGTGGGGGTGTGATGGGGCAGCGTGGGGGATCCAGGGTGTAATTAGGTTCAAATCAGATGACTAAGATTGCAGGACATTGTTATTGTTTCTCATGCCATAAAACAAAATCCAAAAGCGGAAATTTGAACTGCACGAACCCATGCTCCAGAGGTTCAAGCTCACCCTTGGAGCGAGTTTAGAAATACACAGTTCACGAGATAGCGCCTTTAACTCCATTGGATCTGCTGATCGAAATGAAACTAAGCTTTCCGACATTGCCATTTAAGACGAGAAGATTGAGTTATTTATAATCCATGCCCAGTGTTTTTCCTTTTCTTTTCTACTTCCTCGGTCCCAAGACGAGTTATAATCTGGCTACAAATGTAGCTACATTTCGACTTGTGAATAACGCCTGTCAAGACGTCTCTTATAAGAAAGATGAATGGAACAATAGAACATAGCGACGGACTGACAGCCCATGAGAGGCAGCTTTTTCGTGATGCCATTGCTCATACCCAAGATTACAACGACATAATCGCGGTCAGTTTAGCAAAATCATCGCCCCCATCAGAATCCTGCTGAACTCTATTTTTCTATTCGTAGTGATTCGAGTGAAGTCCATGCGCACGATCATCAACGTCTATCTGTCGTATATTTTAGCAGTGGCTGACGCTGCTTATCTGATCCTAATCATGTCATCAGCATGGGCAACAGACAATTGTTGCTTGCCTTGTCTGTATCATTTTAGAAGCTTTATTTCTCACAAAAAAACAAGATGTTTGGGAACAGCGAACAGATTTTAATATAGGCTCGAATTTGAGATATCGCGGAAAGACGATAGATGCAGTATTGGCAAACCAATTTTAACAAACTATGTATATTTTTATTTTTTTTATTTTTATAGTAGAACGGTAGTTGAAGACGGAGATGAGAATCTATATGATCGTGTCCAGATACAAAGCGCAATTGCAGTGTTCATTGTTGCGTAATGATCCGCCTAGCACACGTCTGTTTCGCACATGGCTGCGGTATACAACTTCCTACAAATCAAACACACTGGACTCATTATTCCACAAAGATGTCGACTTCTTTTCGTCCATGGAGATAAAGCGAATGGACCTAGTGTTCTTGCCGGCGCGCTCCCTTGCTTATAAAGACAATATTTTTTTCCAAGAGAACTAAGGTAACGAAATGGCCGAGTAATGACGATTCGTCGTCTACACTAGTGGGGCCCCGGCCGGGTTCGAATCCCGCTTGTGTCTTTTTCGTTTTTATTGTACGCGTTCACTCATTGACTACAAGAAATTTAGTTTCCCGTGAAAATAAAAGTACCAACAGTAACTAGTACCTTAGCTTAATCGCCAAACTCTACTGCTGGGACTGTCTGCGAAATCCAGGTTGTGCATCTTCGTACAGGTTCAGGGCATTTAGTCCACTCGGGGGATCAGGGCTTCGTGTGCCGCCTTGTTCCTCCCTTAGCTCTTTGCTTTTACATGGTGCCTGGCCCTCCCAGGTTATATGGACGGACAGGGAAGGAAGTGTGTATTGGCCGGGACCTCCGAGATCTCAGAAGAGTCCTATAAGGGGTTGGCATGGGGCATTGTTATGGCCCATCCGACCCCTGACTGCTCGGTTAGCACATTAACTTTTTTGTTTTTTGAGCCTTTATTTGTTTTAATTTGAAAATCACATCTGCTCGACTAGGATATGGTATATGTTTCCCGGCTATTTTAAAAGATTTTTCATTCGAATGCAACAACAGCACTCTATCATTCAATTTCGTCCTCTAAAATTTACACACGCCTTGAGAAAACCAGTTTAGTGATTTACCGTTCAGTTTCAAAGCTTAGTCCAGGCGCGGTTCTACGGGGGGAAGGGGGGGGGGGGGGCTAGGGGGGGGGCTTTAGCCCCCCAAAATTTTTGTCTAGCCCCCCCAAAATAAATTCCGTAAAAAAAAAATTGCATTAGCAAAAAGAAGGATTGTGATGTACATGCGAACGGTCTCCCTAAAAAAAATAGTCTTGACAAGGGTGCATTAGTTAATATAGTGTCAATGATGTTAGGATTTTATTGGCGCTCCCCATTGAAAATATGGCATGAGGCCCCCCCCCCCCCCGCCCCCCTCTTGATTTTCGGAGGCCTAAGTGTCTGGAAAAAAATAACCGGTCTACATTTCAGCATGCCTCCCTGAAAAAAATTCTGGATCCACCCTGCTAGCCCCCCCCCCCAAAAAAAAAAAATATTGGTTCTAGAACCGCGCCTGGCTTAGTCATCCTCTTTAGTCACCGGGTTGAGAATATTCGTCATTACAGATCGAATTCGTCCAAGCTGTTGCCGAATAACAGCTTTCAGAAATCGGATTCGTCTTATATCAATCAGAGACGAAATTGAATGCTCTAGGAGGAAAACGTGTCGTGTGCTCATTGTTTGAATTTG